CCGTGGAGGCTCGAAAAGGAAATTAATTTCCTTGATTTTTCCAGCTTCTAATGGCTGTGCGTGTTTCTTGATTTATGGCTCTCTTCCCCAACTCCAAAGTCAACTATGCTGCATGTCTTTCAATACATCCATCTGTCCTAATGTCCTCTCCTGCCTTACCCTTTGACTTTCCAGAACCTGGTGTTTCTAGCAAAATGACTCAGGTAATCCAGGATAACCTCTCCATTTAAGGTCTTTAACCTCAACATACTTTTGAAGTTATTTTTGCCATGTAAGGTAACATATTTGTATGTTTCTGAGATAAAGAAGCTCAGTAGCCAGGACACAGTGTGACATTTCTGTATATGCACAGACTTGGCTTTGAGAAGGGACACTTTCCTCAGTCATGGGAAAGAAGATGAGCCAGCGACAGACGACCCTATCAGTTGCATCGAAGCTATTAGATGAAGAGAAGTGAACGAACTGAGAGGAAAGAAGGATGGGAAGGAAAGCAGTGTTCTATGGGGCACCAATTATTTAAGAATTTTCTCCTTAAAGAACTTTTAAGATAATCATTTCACCTTTTGTTTTCTGTTGTAAAACCTTATTCACATCTGGGTGCAGATCCAAAGAGGCAGGCCAGACCTGGGGATCTGGCAGGGTCTTTGCAGGGATGGTGGTCAGACTCATTCAGGTCCTAGGGAGCTCTGGTAGTTTCCACTTGTGAACCTTCCTCTTCCTAGCCTTCCTGGTCTTGCTAGCCCTTTTCATAGCTGAGCTTCTGATGAGTTGCTTCCTCTGTCGTTTAGTGTGCATTTCCTTAGGAGGAGATGAGATCTTCCAGCCTGCTCTCACTGAAGCCTTTCTTCATTCCTCCAAGCTATTTTCTTCTACAGCTTCTCAACTCTAGCTCACCTCTTGACACCACTGATTCTGCTTGATGTGGCCACACTGTCATCAGATGTGACAAAAGTTTCACTCTTAAAAAGTTGTATTAAAACTATGATGAAGATTAAGATTTGGTTATCTGACATGCAGTGATTACAAGTTCTTTTCTGTTCTGTTTGAATCTTGTGCGAGTCTTAGTGAAGACTTACTACTCACCCCCCCTCCAAAAAAAAAAAAACGCTCAAAAAAACAAAACAGGTAGCATTGTATGTGGCCTTAAAGATTGTTCTCTGATGTTGTTAGTGGAAAGAAAATACAAAGCTAAGGCATATTCATTTAGAAATGAGCAAGGTCAACTAGTTTTTCAAAATGAGGCTAGCAGCCTTTTGCAAGTAAACCACCTTTCTGGCAGGCAGCTTTTAAAGAATAAATTCTTCCAATGTTTTTCAAAAACTAGCAGACTGATATGATTCACAAATTCATGATAGAACTAGCTTAATAATTTTCATGCTTAGTATGTAAGACTTTTTAAAAGACTTGCCTTTTCAATCAAACTGTGTTCATGTACGGATACTAGTTGGAATACCAATCAGATATTTTCTACGGGACAGCAATATGCTGTCCCCTGGTGCTCCCCTTTCAAGTCCATTTCCGGTTATTATGAAATGACACTTCTCTTCATAGAGGGGTCAATGAAGTAGAACTGATATTTAGTAAGCCATCATTAATTAGAATCTTACCAAATGATCATATTTTTTAGTGGTTTACTAGTAAAATGCATCAACCGATACTAAGAGACCAGCACACATGACTTAAGAGGACAGAGTATTTTGAATCATCTAAGTAATATCAATTTTGGGAAAATGCTATTATACCAATGAAGAAGCATTTATTTAGTAAAAAAGGTAAAATTGGGTGTTTGCTTTTTACTATATTGCCATTTATCTTATCACTTTCTATTTGGCAAAAAGTTGCAATGAATTTATTTTAAAATAGTCTACATTTCTATCCTGCTATCCCACATTGCTAAGATTTTGCTGTATTTAGTTATTTTTAAGAGGAATGGTTTCTGCGAAGTTTTTTGTTTTGCTTAAACTGTAGACTATTCTCCTTAGTGGGAAAGAGCTGCTGAGTATGTGGAAAACAGCACAAAAAACTTCAGCAGGAAGATATTATGATCATTGGGAATTCTTCATCCCTGCAGAATCCTCACATTAGGCTTGCAAAGGCAATCTGGCTTGGCAAGTAGCTAATTGGACAAAGCTAAAGCTTGTCAGCAGGGTTGAAATGTAGACTGCGTTTGTCCCTGGTCCCCACCTTCCTTTAGTAGTAATGTGTCAAATGTCTTAGGTAGATTCTCCTAATCTCTGCGCTTGCCTCCCAGGATGGTCATTATGTCAGGGGTAGCACCCTGGACCACGTTCCTCAGGACTCATTGGCCCTGTGCATGGCATCCTGCCTGACAAATGACTGCTCTCTCTAGTTCATCACTATTAGTGTACTAAATCTAAGATCACACTTAAATGAGGGATTTACAAGCCATTTACCTTACATTAACTATGGCTCAATGTATCTTAGATATCTCTTGTACTCATACTGCAATTAGTAGGAAAAGTTAGTACATGAGTCAACTGTGGACTTTTCTTTTTCTTTTTTTGGTCTTTTTGAGACAGGGTCTCCCTGTTGCCACAACTGTCCTGAAACTGGCTATGGAGACCAGACTGGCCTCGATCTCACAGAGATCGCCTGCCCCTGCCTCCCGAGTTCCAGGTCAACTGTGGATTTTTGTGTGGTGGTTTCAGGTGCGTAGGTGGTGGACTTGGAATTTGAAGAAGCCAATCTTCAGGTTTGCGAGCTTCCTTGTCTCTTCTTGGATTGTTCATATAATTATAAATGGAATTCCTTGGATTGTAAAATGGTCCAGTTCATCTTTATGATCTATCAGAAATGTCACCATTGCTCAAACACCCTTTTCTCTTTTCAGATGAAACTATTTGACAAAGCTGTAGGGTGCTGCCAAGTCTCCGGAAGAAATGCAAGGTGTTTGTGATGTAAAAGCAGTAACTCGTTAAAGAGTGCCCCAGTGGAGCAACTGTAATGAGCTGAGGATTTCTCTAGAGGCTTGCTGCTTGTCTGATGACAACAGGAAACATTTTTCTAAGCAAGGAGCCTTTGCGTCCCCAGTGGAAGTATGCCATTAAGTCACATTAAATTTTTTTCTTTCCACCTGGCTTACTCAGTACTGGCTGTAACTGCTTTCTCAGTGAAGTGAAACGTGCTACCCCAAAGTTCTGCCATATGAATCCCTTAACTTTGAATCCACTCATTTAGGCAGTGGAACAACTGGAAATCATGGTATGTTTTGGTTTTCTGAATACGATGGCGTGTGTTCGCTTCAGCAGAACATATGCTGACTTATTGAGTTAAAGCTAAGAATATAAAAGTCAACTGAAATCTTAGAATTGTGATAATATACCCTCTGTAGTGTTTAAAACCTTTATATGTCTTTTTTGTTTTTCAGATCAAGCATAGCATACTGAACATAACTGGAACTTAAATATTGCATATTATAATATCACTAAGTAAATTTCTAACATTTTTGTCATACAAATAGGAAGAATTTGAGGTGATGGATATGTCAATTAGCTTAATTTAATCATTCCACACTGTACTACAAAATCATGACATCATTTTGTATGCCATCTATGTACAACCATTCATGTCAATATATAATTAGAAATAAAGAAGAAAAATGTGTAATGTAACACATTAGTACTAAGAAATTTCGATTTATTGCCTGATACTGAATCTTTGAAACACCAACGTTCTCATGAGGCATAATCCAAACAGTTGCTGGTATAGATTTCTATATTAGCTGTAGCGTGCTCTAGGAATACTTGTTTAAGATTAATGCTAATCCAGTGATTAGCATTAATGTAATAATCAGAGTGTTTACTCTGGTTAGCTAAGAGTTGAGGTACAGGGAAATATGAAGCCAAGCTCTTTACACTGGCCCAGGAGAGAAGTGACCTTCATCTAGATCTCAGACCCATCCTCTAGAGTCATTGCACAGAGAAGAGCTGCTGGCCAGCCTACACAAGGGTCCATCTAGCCCGTGTCACGCTGGGGGAGGAGTGTCGTGCTCATTTAGACAGAAGAGGTGATGGCCAAAGCTGTGGTCTGAGAGGCCATCTATACTGACATTGGAGGGGAAAGGGCTACTTATTTAGTAACTTTGTCATCAAATCATTGGACAGGGTAAGAGAAAACCATCACTTACTGCAGCAAGGGGGATTACTGTAGTTTGCTGATTCTCTGGACACTCTCAATGTGATGTTGAAGAGAAGCATCTCAGACATTTTCTACTGGATAAGCAGCTATGAATGCAAATAATCCACTTGTTGCTGTTACGCCTCTTTCATCCTTTTCTTAAATTGGATTGAAGCCTGGTAGAACATCTGATGTGAGTGGGCACCCCATTCAGCATTAATTTCTCTGGGTGGAAATACGAGCCATCCGCTTATGTTGCTCACAGCAACACTATGCAGTTTGATTACTTCAGAGCAGATTAAGGTATTTTTCATGTGAAAGAGCGTTCTGAGAACTTGTATCCATTTGTAAAGTCCCAGCAGCTCTCAGTCCAGAGACCATACATGTTTTATAACCTTATTTTATTTAATTTTTGCCTGGCCCAACTCTGATTAGTTTCAAATAAAACTATGATTCTTCTGTGTCTTTATTCTGTTAATGTATTCCTGCCTCTCTCTGGCACAGCAGCCCCTGCAAGTAAATTACCACTTACAGACTTGTAGGCAGAGCTGCATTAGGGTTTTTTGAGGTGACCATTCTTACTTGATTTCCAGATGGCTGAGATTTAAAAAATAAAACAAAACAAAAAAACCCACACTCAACCTCACTATAAATACATCTTCAGAGGGTTTGGAAACCCGATGATGAAGTGAATCACTCCAAGTGCCCTCAGAAGGACACAAACAGCCTCCATTCCAGAAATGAGCAGGGAGCACATGAAACAAAATGAGTTTTTAAGAAAAGTTGCACATAGAGTAATTTTAATCCATTCCATTTTAAATACCACAATAAATTTAATTTTCACAATAAATTAAATAGCCATATTCAGTTTACAAAATAGAATTACTTAGTGTGAAACCAGTATTTACAACAATTTACACTATGTACATGACATTTCTCTTTGTTGACATACAACATGGAAGTCAAAGGACTTGACTCTTGGATGTGTGATTGACATGCTACAAATGACTAGGAGAAAACAATAGTGCAAAGTCACCACAGGACCTTTGGGACAGTGTCAGTTTTATGAACTAAGACATTCTTTAAATAATAAGAAAATAGCATATTCTGCATATTCTGTTTTCATGGCACCAATTCACCCTCTGAATAAAGAGCCAGCTTTCCCTTAGGGGCAAAAAAATATGTAACTGAAAAAAATATGTAACTGAATCCTTTGCTTCCTGAAGCTTTATAGCCATTGGTACGTTTTCACACATTCATCTTTTGGCTTAAACCTATGAAAATGGCAGGTGACAAATTCTGAATCAAAGGAAGACTGACTCTGAGAAGAGCGAAGTGTCTTTCCCCAGTACCACCATCTCTTCTTTTTTTTGTAAATAGCTTAAAGATGCAAGTATGGTGACAGCAATTTATTATTATTATTTTTGTAAATTTTGGTAGAAAAAGAACTTACTTATATTTGGTCACACACTGTATGTACAAGTATACATGGAAAAATGAGTTGGATAGCTGTGTCTAGGAAAAGTGCATATTTTAATCTAGAGAACAGATGGCATGTCTCCAGGCACAACACATAGTGTTGTATGGCGGTCTATTTTAGGGCCAGTTTAATGTCCTCCCAGTGATCTGGTAAAATTTTTGATTGAAAGGATGAAAGAATTTGCGCAATTTGGTAATGACAGAGGGGTCCACCTCTGGATGAATGCGCCCCTTGCTGCCAGCCAGGCACTTATTAAAGATAATGTTAAATCGCAAACAGTAAAACCCTCTGGTAGCATTGAAATATAAATTGTATTGACTTATTCTTGGAGGAAGATTTAGAAACTTCTCCACGAGCTGAAGTTCCGGCAGAGGTTCGGTGATTAGGCGGTCTCCATCCACGATGTGAAATTGCTCAATGGGAAAGTACTTCAACCACCGTTCCAGGTGTTTGGTGTAGATGCTGGTTCTTACCGCCTTATATTTTGTGTTCACTTCACAGGTATTAGGGTCTATGGCCAGTTTCTCAAACTTGTAGTACGTTTTGTTCTTCCTCTCCTTCCCTTCTAGCACCTGAGTGTAATCAGAAATAGCTCTTGTGGTTGGCTCCCTGACAATGACCAACAGCTTGATGGATGAATTCATTTTGTAAATCCTTTCCGGAACCTCCTCCGTGATAAAATATGCCGGACTCTTTTCGATCGTGATTTGCTGAGGGTAAGAAAAAGGCATCTTTTTCCTGTACCACTCAATGCCCTTGGCATAATTCTCATCATTGTCAAAAAAGTGGATCTCTTGAGAAGCTTTGACCACTGCTGGATGGAGGTTCAGCATCTCTAGCAGGGCCCTTGTGCCCCCTTTCCTCACTCCAATGATGATGGCTTTGGGGAGCTGCTGGACCAGGTCATGGAGGCGAACCTGCTCCTTAGAAGAGTTGCCCTTCCGGAATTCGTGCAGCAGGCCTCTCTTAAACTGCAGGGCTCGGAGTGGGAACTCAGCCTGGCTGTGGGTGCTGCCTGGTCTGCTTTCAATGGGGCAAATGTGCTGTAGCCTGCAAGTAACAGAGAATCACTGTAAGAGGCTCATCACAGCTAACTGTTCATCTTTGCTCTGTCTCAGACTCTACATGCATAAATAAAACCACCAGTCCCAGGCTGCTGTGATCCATGATGAACATATGTTTGGGACATTTTTTGTTAAGCAACCCTGTATTCAGTGGAGCACACGTAATTGATGGGATTTTTTTATTATTATTATTAGTGCTCCTTAAAATTTTTATTCACCAAGCACTTAATTGACTACAGCATGTACTTATGCTCACAGTAGAGGATAAACAAGTGACACCAGCCATACTGATAGCTTTTTAACAGCTCGCCAGTTAAAATCGTTTATGAAATGAGGAAGGCAGAAGATTATAATCCTCAGCTGGGAAGCTGAAGGGCAAAGAGGAGGCCATTTGCTTCAGCTTTGTGTGGTGTTATTAGTACTATTTATTTGTTTATCTCATAGCCTAGCAGCACTCACATGGCTCTTTTAAAATCTTTGAGATATAATCTGAGAAATCCCAGTCTCTGGCCTTGGCTGTTTGCATCACTGGACTTGCAAAATTCCAGTCTTGGCCTTTGGTGAGCTTTGTTCTTTGAGAGTTTCTGCCCTTGGCCTTGGGGATAGGGAGGAGATTGTTCTACCTCTGCCTCTCTTTCCCCTTTCTGTATAAGGAGGTTAGGATATATTTTCATTTTGCTGACTGTAGGAAAAATGTCAACTACCATCAGTATGTTCTTGATGGCCTACCATACCTGGGACCAGAAATCCACAAGACCTTGATGGGGCTAGAAATTCTAGATCCTCACTGCCAAGCAATTTGAGTCAGGAACCAGAGTTCATAAAGGAAGGAGTACAATGGACAGAGCCTGAAGGGATGGTTTCTACTTCAAAATCACTCCAAATCATAAGCAATCATTGATATTTTTCTCAGAGGGAAAGGTGTGGTAATATCCATGATGACATTAGAGTGAAGTGAGTAATTTAGCATGACCTATATATGGCTAAAAAATCGAGTTTACCTTCATACATGGTTTAAAGCCAAACTGAAATTCACTATAATTAATGCACCAACTAGGTTGATTTGGGAAGTCATTTGAGCCTTACTTGGTCAAAGGAGATAAAATTAGTCAAATTGGCTGTTGAACTATTTTTCCCAATGGAAAGCTTCTCGTGATTCCAGTAATCTGGTATCACTGTTTCCCTGTCTGCACTACTTTGAGTACTGTGACTACTCTGAGGTGGCCACTGGCTTTTCCCAAGAGGCCTATTGCATCTTCAGATCATATTCAATCTATTCTATAGCACTTAGGGGAGTGATTTTTGTCTGTGTTCTGTTTAAGTAGGCCTATACCATAAAATGCTAACAATACAAATGCATCAATTTCTGTAGTATTTGTTTCATGATTCTTAAAACAACTCATACTCATTGTGAAAACTATGAAAAATGGAAACTTTCTGTAAAAACAGGGTTTACCACAGTTAATATTTTAGGGAAACATGGAATTATAAATTTAATGTGATTAATATGCTAGGGCTCTAAATGGATGTTATGAAATTGACAATGGATATATAGTTAAAGGTGCCTTTAATTGTGAAATTGATTAGGATATTGCAAGTTGGTCTTGCTGCTCTTCTTGAGTTCTGGCTATGAAGCCAGCCCTAATTCACAGAAGCATCAGTTGATGGACTTCTCTTCTGAGCATCTAGAATGATGCTACCACTGGTTCAGCAAGAACTGGGCAAATAGTCATGTAAATTCTATTCTGTATGACAATTCTCTAGGTGAAAATCCCTAGGTGAAGAGACTGCACAAATCAGCAGGAATGAATTTCCTCTTTCTGGAAAGGGTTGCCTGATAGATGAAGAAGCCATGGATGAATCTGGTTGATCGGGAGAAAGCACCAGGACACAGATAAAACTCCAGCAGAATAGAGTTTATTAGCAAAGAAACACATGGGACAGATTCCTTTCTCGGCAAGGCAGGGAAAATATCTGTCCCAGGGTCGTGAGCTGGGGTCTTTTATAGGGGGAGGCTTCTGGGAGGACTCAGAAAGTGGGAAGATATATTAGTTTTAAAAGTTAGGTGGGGGGAGGGACTATTAAAACCTGCCCCCTTTAGAGATCAAAGGGGAGGCCTGCTGTGTTGGGGGGGGGGGGGGTTGCAGAAGGCAGGAAGATATATTTTTTAAAGATGGGGGAGCGGGAGCAGGAGAGAAGGACTTGTAAAATCCCCTTTAGAGATCAAAGGGGAAGCCTGCTATGTTGGCCAAACAGAGGAGAAAAGTCTGCTTTTGACTTGTCTTGTGGAACTGTGAGGCCCTCTTGGTGAGGGGGCATGGCTGCTGCATACCTGAACCCTTACATTGCCTTCCTTCCACACTTCCATCTACTTTTTACCCTGGAGATGGAACTCTGCAGAACAGTTGTTCTCAGGACTCCCCAACTCAAGATACCACCAAAAGACAGGAGAAAATATAGCATTCCCCTGCTTCTGCAAGAACAGTTTCTAATCACTGATCCTGACCAAACCCAGAATTTTAGGATTGGAAGGAACAAGAGAGATAATCTCAGACTCCTCACCAGAAAGTGGAGTCTTCAGTCCCTAAAGGGTAAGCCTAAGTAAGCACAGGCCATCTTCAGCAAAATCTCAAAATTTCAAGTTAGGGGTTGTGAGAAAGCCCTACCAAATGATGCAACTCCTTATAAAAGTTATCCCATTGGGAAACAGAGAATGTTAAAAATGAAAATTATCCACAGCTGAGTCACGGATGTGTTAATGACCATTAGACCAGTTTCTCAATAAAAGGTTGGTGATTGGAAGCTAATTAAAGGTGTGGAGAAAATTTCATTTAAAGGTTCCACAACAAATAATATCACCTCAAGGCTTTTCACTATGAAATGGTACTTTGGGAAAATACTCGAGGACCAATACCAAGTGATGATCTCTTTGGCAATAGCTACAAAGTGGGAGGAATTTTGAACAGAAAAGCATCAAAGGGGTTAAATTTTACCAGTTAAAATGGACACTGGATGAAGGAAGGCAAGGACCATTGCTATGTTATTTTTAAATATCTGAATAAATTCCACAGATGGGAAGAAAACTGAAGGTATTTTCTTCTTAAAATGTGACTGTATTTTTTTTTTTTATTTTTTTGGCCTTTTTGAGACAGTGTCTCTCTGTAGCCCCAGCTGTCCTGGAACTCACTATGTAGACCAGGCTGGCCTCGAACTCACAGAGATCCGCCTGCCTCTGCCTCCCAAGTGCTGGGATTAAAGGCATGCGCCACCACGCCAGGCAGTGACTGTATTTTTATTAACTACAAGAACTGAACTCACAAATAACCTAATTCAGTTTTTTTTCCAGTACAAGAATTAATTTTGGAGGTCAAAAAAGAAACCTTTAATTAACTGTTCTGTATTTTCCAATCATCAGAACCATCCAAGAACATCTAACGGACAGTCAGTTGATGCGATGGGAACTTCTACAGGCCCAGCACCTCTCAACTGTTTGCCTGTTTAGAGCCAAACCCTAGCTCTATAATTTCCTCTCCATGGATTTTCCATTGCCTTCTGGGCAATTATTGTGTGTGACAGGCTCCTTGTCTGTTATGCTCAGCTCCTGAAAACCAGAGTTAATTAGCATAGTTAAAAATCCATGCCTGTAGCCATCTTTCTAGGACAGTGGATTGCAAACTTGATGAGCTTCTTTACTGGTGCATACATAATTTCAACACTCCCAATAGCACATTAACTGTCCACTCATAAATTTCAAAATGAAAAGTCATAGTTATATTACCATTGTTATGCAATGACTAGAGGTCAATGCCAGATGCACATGGACCACACTGTATTCTAGTAAATGGCATTTTTTTTCTTTTTACTGTACATGGCTTTATTCCTTCTCTGAAAATAAGTGTCAGTGCATGCAGAATACAAATAGATCTTGATACAACACCTTGATTTGAGCAATGCAAATCTCCTTTAAGGTCTCAATAAATCAAGACAAACACTGCAGAAAAACATGTTTCTTAGGAATTTTAAGGGAAAGAAAACAAATGTATCAATTTAAAGTTGTATCGTAAAGAAGCTTCTATCAAGGGACACTTAAAATCACACAAGTATAGAATATATTTAATCACCCACCTATCCAAGCTCCCAACTCTGGCAACTAGATACAGGAGACTGCCAACGGCAAGGCTTCCCAGCACCAGGAGCTTTTGTCTCAGCCACGCCTGCTGTTTGAATAGCATGGCCCTCCATCAACCTTCAGGACTGCTGCAGCCTGAGAGAGCAGAGAGAAGGCATCTGTCAGCAGTTGTCTCTTACAAACTCTGGACTGTCATAAAGCCAAGTAGAGGTGGAAGACTGTTGATTAAATGATGCTTCATGAAGAACAGGTCCCCTTCCAACCTTGGCAGTTTCCATGGTATAACTGGTATTTAGCAAAACTTAGCTTTTTAAAATTTTAACCTGGTCCGTTCTATAATATCAACCGTTAGTTCTGGGGGGAATTGGACATGATTTGTTCCATTTTCAGCAACTGTTGAGCAAATAAAAATTGATCTAAAATGTGTGTGTATGTGTGTGTGTGATTCAAAGAATACTGAACTGGTAGACTGCAGAATACTGAATGTTGAGATTCTGGCATAGTAATGCTCATTTGGGGCATAAAAATGGCATCTTTTACTTGAACCTTTTTGTTTTGCTTCACTCGTGAATGGAGGAAGAGGGACGTATTAAAAGTGATCACTTCCTGAGGTTATCAGTGGCAAGGGTCCAAACCTCCTGTGTTTGAGGACAATGGCTCCAAGGAGCTTGCTGTCTCCTTTCATGTCCATGTCTAGTCCTGGATTCTGGAAACAGGCTCTGACTGTGTGACCTCCCCAGCCTCCCAGCGAGTTTGAACAGTTGGGTGATACCAGGCTTGCTTTCTCCTCAACAAAGAAGTTTACCTGGAAGCTTTGTTCTCCCTTATACACGAGCAGTGCAGTGTAAGGCTTTTCTTGTACTGTTATTAAATTTTGAGGAAAAACTATAAGCTTCCAATTCAGACTCTCTTATTAAAAATAAATCCAATCCCCGTTTCAAGATAAGATTGTTTGCTTCTTATTGAAACCGAAAAGAGTAACTGGAGAAGGAAGCTGAGCCCTGGCTAGAAATTATCTTTCTGCAAAGGAATCTCTGTACTTGTTGTGTGAATATTTTCTCTATGCGGAAAGAATATGCTAGGGTTACTGGACTGATCTATATTTTCATTTATCAAGAAAATGCTGAGCACTGATAGCATTCTCTACTATTAGAGTAGGTACACTGGAGATTTCCAAAAAGGTTCTGAGAAAGTTTCAGTCCTTGGAAAACTGATCATGTGGTTGGAGAATTGTGAAATAACCAGAGAACATAACCCATTTCTCACGAATGTATGAATAAATGTTGGGGAAAGAAAATTAAAGAACAGATCAGAGAGTATGGGCTCTAGGAAAATTTAGTTTTTATTTACTGAGGAGACTGTAGGAAGTCATCTTAAGTGGAGGAGATTAAGAGCAGAACTCACCCAACACACTGTCTGCCCATGGCACATGCCCATGTGTTAGATTCGTGCTACAGAGAACAGTGATCAACTAAACAGATTTAATTCTTGTCTAGAATGAACCTACACTCTATTGGAAAAAACAGACTTTAAACCAACAAACACATATATAGGATGAATGCATAGTTATAAATTTTATTAAATGTCACCAAGGAAAATGATAGGATCCCATGAGAAAGTATAACAGGGAGTCTACCTCAGTTCTCCATGAAGCAGTGACACCTGGTTGACGGATTGAAGGGATCAGCAAAGAAGCAGAAGGTGAGGTGGGTTAGGAGCAGAGGAACCAGCGTGCGCCGTGGCTGAGGGGAAGCTGTCTGGCTCACCTGAGAAGTGAAAATCGGTACAGCTGGGCACAGGGATCGAGAGGGAGAGAGAGAGAAGGACAACGAAAAGGTAGAAGGAAGAAGAGCATCTGAGGGAATGGTGCACTGCAGTTCCGACCGGCCAGGGCTTGCCTCATGTACAATAAAATGGAGAAGAGAAAGGGGCGAGGAAGAGGTTTGTTGAGGTCTTTTCTGTGGTAGGCATGTTGTCCGGATGTTATATCAGAACAACACCCGTGAAGTAGAGGGAGTTTCATAGACAGGGAGATGGAAGCTCACAACTTTCTCTCACTGGCCTCTGGCAACATAATCAGAAGGCAGTGACCTATGATTCAGAGTTTCTCTGAAAGAACCAACCTCCTCTCTCCGGGTTGTTGTCCAAGATCCTCAGAGGCACAGCCTAAACCTGCAATCCCTGATCAAGTGGAAACAGTGCAACAAGATGTACCACAGGGTGGTGATCCTCCCTTAGCAGCAATGTGGTCCTTAGGTTAGATTCTTTGGGCTTTTCTTTCCTTAGCCATACAGAGGAGCAGTCTGTGACCTCCCCAAATGTGGTGGTTTGAATGAGAAATGTCCTCCATAGGTTCATGGGTTTGAATACTTGGTCTCCAGGTGCTGTGCCCTTTAGAAGGTAGAGGCTTGATGGAGAAAGTATGTCATGAGGGTGGGCTTCGAAGTTTTATAGCCACACCCCACTTCCTGCTCTCTTTCTGTTTCTTGTGTGTGGTTAAAATATGTTCAGCCAGCTTCTTACCCTGTGATCATGCTTTCCCAGACTGCTGCTAGGTCTTCCCTGCCACGATGAACTCTATGCCTTTGGAACTGTAAACCAAAATAAACCCTTTCTTGACCTAAGCTGCTTTTGCCCATGGTATATTATAACACCAACAGAAAAGGAATGAATACACCAGGCCGTAGCGCTGTAGTAAGTACGAAGTGAGGCTTTGACAGGTGATACTATCCTACAAAGTCTTATTAGCGTTCCTGATTAAAGGATCGTGTGTCCTTTGTGCTTTAGTGTGAATGAATTAAATGTTCATTTACAGATGAGCAGTGTGAGAATAACGCTGCTCCATGGCTAAGAAAATGTGGTGGTTTGAATGAGCAATGTCTCCTATAGGCTCATATGTTTGAGTACTCATTCCCTGTTTTGGTAGGCTATGGAACCTTCAGGAGGTGGAGCCTTGCTGAAGGAAGAATACCACTGGGCATGGGCTTTAAGTGTTTATAGCTTTATCCCACTTCTTGTTCTCTCTCTCTCTCTCTCTCTCTCTCTCTCTCTCTCTCTCTCTCTCTCTCTCCTGTGAATGGATGAAAAATGTGATTAGCCAGCTTCCTGCCCCTGCTGCCAGGCCCGATTCTATGCCTCTGAAACCATAAGTAAAATGCACTCTCTTCTGTAAGTTGCTTTTTGTTATGGTATTTCATCACTTCCACAGAAAGTAAGTGATGCAGGAGGACAGATGCAAATAGGAGTGAGGCAAAAAGTTCCAAGGCTGTGTAGGTGACCAGCCTTCCCTAGGGGAGGAAGTCAGAGCAGGCTGAGGGAGCAATGTGGCTTTCTCAGGTTTTATACATGGTATCCACACTGTCCTGCTTAAAGCTGTATGAGACATTGCTTTATCCACTTTCACCAGCTCCCCAACCCACCTGCCTATCTTTAATTGCATCCCACACAACCTGTAAAGTCTGAGCTACATCCTAGGTCCTCCACAAAGCATTCTCCAGCTGAGGCTCCTGCCCATGGTCCTCCCTGAGTGGCACTGACTTCTCATTACTGCACTCAGAACCACACAGACATCCCATTGTTCTTAAGTGTTTCCCTTCTGTATGACCATGTTCTAGCAATGGGCTGAGACAGCCAACAGACTTAGGAGTACTAGAAAGCTAACTGTGAGGACCTGAGCCTGGATCAGTCTGCTATGCTCTATAAGCCAGGGATTCCTAAGACAGGCTTGCAAAAAGCCTTTAGAAACACCCCTGCCCATCCTCAGAGAGCCCAGGTCAATGGGCCTGCCTTAAGCTTGCCCTTACAGGTCTAAAAGAAAACCACAAAAATTGATATTGTTTTCTACTATATTTTTCTTTTTTAGTCACTAATTCCAGTTAATTATTTCTCTTTAATTTCTTCATGTCTTCTGTCCAGGTACTTAGTCATTCTCTTCCTAATATTATTATTAATTATTATTATAATTATTATTTTGGTATTATTTAGCATTTGAGTATGTTCTCTATGCTTTTTTCCTATGGATTTGGACAGCCCTATTAATCTTTTCTGACCTATTATGGGACTGTTCACTGGACCAAGTCTAGTACCGAGTCCTTAGGGAAAACCAGAGGGTCCAGCATGATAGGCAGCTCTTTGCCTTCCCGTGAGTTGTCCACACTGGCCTCTGTGCTTCTGGTCCACCTCCCAGTGGTTGTCCACCCTTCACTGACAACTCGATGCCCGTGATAGCCCCCCTGCCTAGGCTTCCTCTTGCCCATGCCTCTTCCTTCAATACTCCCAGGTCCTACTGAGTCTTTCCAAGGGGGGTAATCATGGAGGAAAAATTTTAACCCAATTCCCACTAGTCATTAGCGATGGACCAGGCCCATTATGAAGATAATTATAGGACTTAAGGGTAATAGCTGGGTCTATGAATAAAACCTGGAAAGTATTTACACATAGCGTGTAAGTGAAATTATGAAGTAACCTCATAATTGGATGGATTCTGCTTAAGGATAGCAAATAGGAAAAAAAGCTAAAGTGCCAGAGAATGTGAAAGCTGCTCAGGAGGTTGATTCTGTTGATAAGTTGATGTAGGAGACTATAATGAATCATGTATATCAGCCTCTGATAGCAATGTTTAAATCTGACCGACTGTGGTTGTTACCTTTTCTATGATCACTGAGAATCTTTCAATCTGAAACTCCCAGCATTCCAACTATAGACTCCATCTTGAGGACAAGCCCGCATAGTGCCATACAAGGTCTACTAGCACAGCTTTCCTGTGTCTGATGCCTGAAATGGGTCGTCTCTTTGCAAGACATAGTTTCTCTAGTATTGTATTTGTGGAGCTGGTCTGTTCCTTATGTTGCTTCCTCCTATGTTATATCGGGCCCATTATACCATTCACAGTGCCTTCCTGCCTTGTGTGATGCTGAGGAGGGCTGAACTTTTTATTTGAGATCCCACCTGCCATGAGAGAGCTTCAGTGACAGATACAAACACCACAATGTCAGTGTCAGAGGAACTTGTATACATTTCGGTTTGGTTTTGTCATGAAAACCTTCTGGATTTGTTTTCCTCATGTGTAAAATGAAGACAAAAGTACCTGTCTCATGAGGGTGTCATGACATGATCACATAGCTTTGTGAACATCT